GACCTAAGAAGCCAAGAGAGGAGTGAAGAAACCAGTGAAGGGCCCACAAGGCCACCAGGTGAGATAGGATGGCTGCCACCAGAATGGTAGCCTGAAGGTGATGAAAACAGAGAACAGTCCGGATCTGTTTTGAAGGTAGAGCCTTCAAAAGGCTCATAAGAGCCTTCATAAGGTCAGCCTTGCTGATGGATTTGATATAGAAGGTGAGAGAAAAGGAAGAGATAAAGACAGTTACAAAGTGGTTTTTTTGTTTTGTTTTGTTTTGTTTCTTTTTACCAGGGCGCCTGGCTGGCTTAGAGCATGAATCTTGATCTTCGGGTCATGAGTTTGAGCCCCACATTGGGGGTAGAGATTACCTAAAATAAATAAATAATTTAAAATAAAGTTTTATCTTATTTTATTTTTTTACCAAAAGGGGGAGAGAATTGAGGTAATGTTTCCTTTTAGGGGAGAATTGGGGCAGGTGTAGCTGTCCAGGAATGGCTGGGAAGAAGGCAAAGGGAAAGACAAGGAGTCATGGGAAGTCAAGGTGTCTCTTCTTGTTTCATGAATTCAGTTATCTTTTCATATATTTCTGAGGATATGAATTACTGTTCCCCCCTCCCCAAAAGTGTTCTTGTATTTCCTGCATTGACAGTGTATCCTCTAGGTTTTTAGCATCTATCTGCATGTTTTGGTCTCTTTCATATTGGCAGCTTTCCTCAAATGTCCAGGCACCCTTGGCTGTTGGGGCATATTTAAGAATGTGGGTGTAGAGCTCATTGATGCATGGGTGGTATTCCTGTCAAACGATGGGTGCAAGCTGGCCTGCTTATTGGAGGGTCCCCAGAGGTCCGTACCCAGAGGTTTTCGGTGCCTCTAGTTTCTCCAAGAAGAATTCTCCAGTCTCCTGCTGGGGTGGGATGGGGCAGTTGCGTGTACTGTCAGGCTGTTAGTGGTTCAGGACCTGAGGCAGGAAGGGACTGGGCTTTCACCGTTCACTAGTTTTCAGCCCCATGACCTCGTCTTCAGACCAGTGTCCCCAAGTCCAGTGGGTCTCAGGCTCAGTTTATACAGAGAATAAATTTCTGGCATCCTATGGAGGGGAAGGGGGACATCTCCCAGCTTTATAAGATTGGGGAGGGGGCCAAGGGTTCTGAATTTTAACCAGCCTCCCCCACCCCCCTGGATTTAGCTCTGAGCCTCACTCATACCTCTGCCATTCCCACTGCCTTCATGTTCTGGACATTTCGAGGGTGGTCTGGCTTGACACTCACTGGGGTTCCCCTATGAGTGTTTGGGTTCTAGTACCCTCTGCTCCACTGAGTCGGTTGTAATGCCCCAGCCACTTTCTATGTTCTAAAGATGTGTTAACATTTCTCATCTGCTAGCATCTCTTCTCTTTACTCTTGTGGGTTTTAAATATTTTATTGACATTCTTACACTTACTCACAAATTTTCCTTTTGAGGTACTCTTCATTCCTTTGTACAGATCTAAGTTTCCATCGGTTAACATTTTCCTTCCACCTAAATAACTTCCTTTAACGTTTCTTGCATGTCTTCTGGTGATAAGTTCTCTTAGCTTTTTTTGTTTGTCCACAAAAGTCTTCATTTCCCCTCCATTTTTGAAGGATATTTTTCCACAGGACAGAGAATTCTAGGTCATTTTTCCCCCCAGCACTTTAAACATTTCATTCGATTGTTTTCTAACTTGCATGGTTTCTGTTGAGAAGTATGTAGTATTTCCTGTATTTGTTCTTCTAGACATAGTGTGTCTCATTTCTCAAAATGATTTTATTATTGTTTTTTTAAGATTTGTTTATTTTTGAGAGAAAGAGCGAGAGAGTACGTGCATGCAAGTAGGGGAGGGGTGGAGAGACGGGACAGAGGATCCAAGGTGGGCTCCACGCTGACAGCAGCGAGACCCATGTGGGGCTTGAACCCACGAATAGTGAGATCATGACCTGAACTGCAGTCTCACCGCTCAACCAACTGAGCCACCCAGGCGCCCCTGAAAATGATTTTAAGATTGTCTTTTTATCACTAAGCTTTCAGCAGTTGATTATGATGGGCCTGGGTGTAGTTTTCTTGGTGTTTGTCTTGGTTGGGATTCATTGAGTTTCTTGGTTCTGTGGGTTTATCATTGTGTTAGCTTGTGCAGAAAATTACCACAGATTGGGTAATTTTATTCTTTCATTCTTTTGGAGTTTGGAAGTCCAAAGTCAAGGAGTCAGCAGGGCTCCACTCCTTCCAAATGCTTACGGGGAGAATCCTTCCTTGCCTCTTCCAGCTTCTGGTATCTCCAGGCACTTTTTGGCTTGTGGCTGAATAACTCCAGTCTCTGCCTCCTCTTTACATGGAACTTCTCCTCTCTCCATGGATCTCTCCTTTGTAGGTCTTATAAAGGCAGGTCATTGGATTTAGTTAGGGCCCACCTGCAAAATCCAGGCTGATCTCATCTTGAGATCCTTACCTTAATTTCACCCGCAAATACCCATCACTCACAGGTTCTGGGGGTTAGAGTATAAACATACATTTGGGGGGACACCACCATTCAACCCCCTATAGTAGCTTTTTTAAAACAACAAATTTGGAAAAATGTTGGTTGTTATCTCTTTAAATGTCTTATTTCTCCCACTTTCTTAGCCTAGTCTCTGGGACTCCAATTACATATATGTTAAAATGCCTTATAGTGTCTCACATATTGTTGAGGCTCTTTGAATGTTTTTCAGTACTTTTTCCCTCTTCTGTGCTCCATTTCTGTTCTCTGTGCTATAGTTCTATTGTTATATCTTCAAACTCACTAATTTTTTTTTTATTCTTTAGTGTCTAATCTTTAAAAAAATTTTCTTTAGATGTTTATTTATTTTTGAGAGAGAGAGAGAGAGATAGAGTGTGAGCGAGGGAGGGGCAGAGAGAGAGGGAGACACAGAATCCGAAGCAGGCTCCAGGATCTGAGCTGTCAGCACAGAGCTCGATGTGGGGCTCAAACTCATGAACCATGAGAGCATGACCTGAACCAAAGTCAGACATTTAACCGACTGAGCCACCCAGGTGCCCCTATAGTGTCTAACTTATTTTTTTTTTAATGTTTTACTTATTTTTGAGAGACAGAGAGAGAGAGAGTGTGAGTAGGGGAGGGGCAGAGAGAGAGGGAGACACAGAATCTGAAGCAGGCTCCGGGCTCCGAGCTGTCAGCACAGAGCCCAACATGGGGCTCAAACCCACGAACGGCAAGATCGTGACCTGAGCCGACGTCTGATGCTCAACTGACTGAGCCACCCAGGTGCCCTGTCTAATCTATTCTTAATTCCATCCTATGAATTTTTGATTTCAGATATTGTACATATCTTTCATTTCTTTCCCCATGAACATTGTGTTCATGTTTTTTTTCAACTCTTGAGCACATTAAACTATTCATCATCTTTATCATTTCTGACTATGTTTCTGTTAAATGATTTTTCTCCTGATTATGGGTCATATTTTCCTATTTCTTTGCATGTCTGATAATTTTTTTCTAGTAATTTGTAACTGGATGTTAGATACTGCAAACAGTGTAATGTTAAGCATCTGGATTTTATGGTCTTCCTTTAAAGAGTGTAAGGCTTCGTTCTGACAGACTGAGTTAAGTTACTTGTAAATCAGTTTGATCCTTTTGAGGTTATTTTTAATCATTATTAGATTGGGTTTAGGTGAGCCTTTTCTCTAGGGATAGTTTAATCCTACTACAAAAGCATCACCATTCTTGGGTCTCTGTTGAATACCTTGTGCAAACAACAAAGACCTTCTATTCTAGCGGGTTGGAGTTTGAATGTCTCCCTGCCCTGAGACATGAGTGCTGGAAATTTACCAGCTTATTGCTCCTCTTCTGTCTAGTATTGCTGAGTTTCACTCTACATAGGTGAGGTTTGGTATTCTGCAAAGACTCAGAGGAACCCCATGCAGATTTTCTGGAGTCCCTTGTTTGCATATCTCACTCCTTCCTGGAACTTGGTCCTGCAACTTCTTGCTACCTCAGTCTCCCTGAACTCCTCTGTCTCCTCAACTCCTCAGCAAGACTACCATGCTCTGCTAGGGATTCCCTGCCTCCTGCATTACTGTCTGGAATGATACTCCCAGGTAGAAATCTAGGCAATCATAGGGCCTACCTTATTTGTTTCTCTTATTTCAGGGATCATAGTCCTGGACTACTTGTTGCCTAATGTCTGAAAACAATTATTTCATGTATTTTGAAGTATTTTTATCTGTTATAATGGGATGGTGGTTTCAGGTATCTCACTATAGTTGGAATAGAAGCCATTTACTGGCATTTTAATCAAGTTTGGGGAAGGAGAAGAGGAGTTACATGCATGTGGTCAGTTCACTGTATTTAGCTAGAGGTCTTAGACTCCTGAAATATATTTAAATATTTATGTTTTTATCACACAACAAAAATCTTATGCAATATAATTATGCTATCCACAAAACGATAATAGGATTTGTAAAAAAAAAAAAAAAAAAGTGTTAATACATAGTGTCCCACATATAAAGGACATGGGTTTGAAGTTGTACCATATTCTTTCATTCCTATCAATATATTACAGCAATTGTTTGTTAAACCTCACTCAGTGATAATGTCAATGATCTAAATTGATAGCCCTTCCTGAAAGTGTGGTCTTGGACCTGTAGGATAAATCTAGTCTCAAGTGCTCTCCTTGGCCAACAGCCTGTCTCGACCACCCTTCAGCTCTGGGATTCTTCTTCAAAGTTAGCCCACTGGGCCTTGGAAGAGTGAACCCAGTCAGGGGACCGAGGTGGACAGGAAAGGAGGAAGGTCCTTCCTTTCTCAGGGCTACTTCCTGCCCTGTCCTACAAGCCTCTTTTCACCCACCTGACCCCAGCTCATTGTGTCTGTCTTTTCCATTGCCTTGTAAGGTGAGCAAGGCAGGGCATTCAGGTGGTTGCTGCTTCCCTAGAGGCTGTTGGGCTCAGATGGGCTGCCTCAGAAGTGACCAGGGATACATCTTCACCTCCTTCTCCAGGTGGACATCGAGCAGCTGGATCCCCGTGGGCGGACCCCCCTGCACCTGGCCACCACACTGGGACACCTCGAGTGTGCCCGTGTGCTCCTGGCACATGGTGCAGATGTGGGCAGGGAGAATCGCAGCGGCTGGACAGGTGGGCACCCCTGCTCACCCCAGCCCCACAGCCAGCGTCTCCCAGCTTCATATCCTCACCCTTGGTTTGCTGACGGGGGCCGCAGGCAGGGTCCTGACCTGTGACTTTGCCTCCTCCCCCCACCCCCAGTGCTTCAGGAGGCTGTGAGTACCCGGGACCTGGAGCTGGTGCAGCTGGTGCTGAGGTACCGGGACTACCAGCGGGTGGTGAAGCGGTTGGCGGGCATCCCCGTGCTCCTGGAAAAGCTGCGCAAGGTGAGGGCCAGCCTCTCAGCCTCCCCACAATGCATTTGAACCCTGTCTCTAGCACAGGCTTAGCTACTCTCTTTTTCATCCTCCAGGCCCAGGACTTCTATGTGGAGATGAAATGGGAGTTCACTAGCTGGGGTAAGGGGGCCGATGGGGGCCTCTCTGGGCATTCTCCCACCTCAGGGCTTTTGTACCTGCTGCTCCCCTGCCTGGAGCTCTATTGCCACAGCTCTTCCTATGGCTCCTTCTCATCTTTTAGTTCCCACCTCAGTGCCAACTCCTTGGCTAGGCTTTTCCACACTGTCTCAGACACTGTCTTGATTCCATTATTATTATTTCCTTCACTTTGTAATGATTTGCTCATTTGTTTGTTACTTGTCACTCCTTGCCAGAAGGTAAGCTCCAAGAGGGCATGTTCAGTGTTCTATCCTCATTGACTAGAACAGTGCCTGGTACACAGTAGGTATTCAATAAATATTTGTTGGGAGATTGAAAGGTTGAGTGAATGAATTAACAAATGGTGGCTATTAGGGACTTGATAGCGGCTGAGACGTGCCCATCTTCAACTTCAGGTTGCTTACATCTGAGTGACGGGTCTCCATTCATGTGGGGGGAGTTTGGAAAGGGGCTGCTCTCCCACTAGCTCTGTTATCCTTGCCCAGCCACAACACTGACCCTGACCCCTATGCCCTGAGGTGGCCCAGGTTGGGTGGACCAGGCAAAATGAAGCCACTCTGACCTTCCCTTCCACCTAGTGCCCTTGGTGTCCAAGATCTGCCCTAGTGACACCTACAAAGTGTGGAAGAGTGGGCAAAACCTGCGGGTAGATACCACGCTCTTGGGCTTTGACCACATGACGTGGCAGCGAGGGAACCGCAGCTTCGTCTTCAGGGGCCAAGGTCAGGCAGGGCAGGAGGTAGGGCAAGGTGGGAAGGCTGGGGACAGCTCCACGCCACCCCTGACCCCCCTGTGCTATTCTGTGGTTGGCAGACACAAGCGCCGTGGTCATGGAGATTGACCACGACCGCCGGGTGGTGTACACAGAGACTCTGGCACTGGCTGGGCAGGACCGTGAGCTGCTGCTGGCTGCTGCCCAGCCCACTGAGGAGCAGGTGCTGAGCCGGCTTACCGCGCCCGTTGTCACCACGCAGCTTGACACCAAGAACATCTCCTTTGAGAGGTGAGTGGGCGCAGCCCTCGTAGCCTAGAGCCAGGCTGCTGGATGCCCCCTCACCTGGACCACTCTGCTTCCCCAGGAACAAGACTGGCATCCTGGGCTGGCGCAGTGAGAAGACAGAGATGGTGAATGGGTATGAAGCCAAGGTGAGGCCACCGCTCCCTGGTACCAGAACCTGCCAAACTCTTGCCTGCAGTGCCCTGGGCAGGGGTTTCCTGACCACTCTTTTTCAGCCTTGGAGGTGCAGAGGCAATGCAGCAAGGAGGGAAGGGCACTAGACTAAGAGGCAACTGATGAGAATGGCCCGAGTTCAAGTGCTTACTATACTCATGTTCGAGACTGTGTTCTGATGTTTTGTATGTATGTGTGAATACATATGTACACACACACACATACTCATTTAATCCCAACAACCTTTTTGGGTAGGTGTATTATTATTCCCATTTTACAGGTGTTTGTTGAGCCTTTCCAACAGGAACCTTCTGTGGGGTGGGGTATTGGCCCATTCTGTGATGAGGAAGGAGGCTTGGAGCGGTTCCATGACCTGTCCAGGGTCACACAGCTACAGGTGACAAAGCCAAGGTTTAGACCTTGGCTGCCTAACTCCAAAGCCCGACCTTTACTCCTAAGAATACCGTGTTGGTCACGCTGGAACCCCTACATCACCCTTGTGGGGCCACATGGTGCCGCTGGTAAAGGAAGGAACTAACAAATGCTGCCAGGCACTGCATTGTGTCCTGGAAGCCTTCCCTGGCCCTGCAGACTGCGTTAAGGCCTCTGCTTTTTGTTCCCACAGCCCTCTGCAACCTTCACCAGAGTGAATCACACTATATTATAACTGCCCATTTCCTTATCTCTTCAAATAGTGTGTGAACCTCAAAAGGGTGGGGATTGTCTCTAGTAGTGCTTGTTCACCACTGAGTGGTGCACGTTCATCACTGTCCCTGATGCCTGCCTCAGTGCCTGGCACATAAAGTCTCCTCACAGAATGTTTGTTCAATGAATAAGAGAATGGATGAATGACTTCAGATATTTACTTGCCCAAAGGCTGGGAGATGGAGCAAACAGCTCCCCCATCCCCCAATGGACCCTTCCTTGCAGGAAGTGTTCATAAGGCCCTTGGGGGCTGGGGATAGGGTACTGGAATTGTCTTTGAGCCCTTTCCTCATCTGTCGCCAGGTATACGGGGCATCCAATGTGGAGCTCATCACCCGGACACGGACAGAGCATCTTTCAGAACAGCACAAGGGCAAGGTCAAAGGTAATGAAGCAGTGGTGGAGTGGCAGGGGAGGGGTGGTGTAAGGAAGCAGCTCCCACTTGAGTACCTCCATCAGTATTCCCTGTGACATCCCAGCAAAAGCCAGGATAGTTTATTCACATAAATAGGTTTCAGTTCAAGTGCCAAGTGCTAATAATTGGGAGTGACTGTCTGGAGTGCAGCTAGGAAGATTCTAAGGCAACATCTGGGCTCAGTGGGAAGGAATTCTACAACTGGTAACTGACGTCTGCCTTGGATTTGGGAGTGGAAATGTCATGTATGCTACTTATTGGCCAGTCCAGTCTAGTGGAACATACCCTAAGCAGAAAGTCAGGGGGTGTGTCACTGATGCTTTGTGCCTCTTGATACTACACGTGACTCTCTGGGCGCTGGTTAGGCTGCCTAAGGTAGGAAGACAATTCCTACCTCACAGGGGAACAAAATGAGGTAATTAAGATGGAAGTGCTTGAAGGAAAACACACACATACACATACATCCCCTAAAACTGCCCACCGAAAGCAGCTATTTTTCGTCTAGTGTCACCAACCTGGACACTTTTGGAAGTTTCTCCTAAGCCCCAGACCTACTTTTATTCCCACTGTGCCTGTAGTGTTCCTCGCCCCTGGCCTTTGGAGTCCTCAGTCACCTTCAGATGAAGGTGCCTGAGAGTTTGGTGTGGGTGAGCAATCCTCCCTACCTGCCAGGAACCAGCCTCCTCCTTAGATCGGGGGTGCGTCACTTCTGAGGGTTGCAGTGTCCTCTGAGATGCTACATTTCTTGTAGGCTGTAAGACACCTCTGCAGTCCTTCCTGGGAATTGCTGAACAGCACGGGGGCCCCCAAAATGGGGTGAGTATGTGCCAGGGGTGCCCTTGTGTGGAAGGGTGTGGATGTGGCTCAGGAGAGCTGGGAGGCGTCCTGCCTAGCATGGCCTGAGTGGACCTACTTTCCACAATGCCCGAGGCCGTGTCAGCTCCACAGTGGCAGGGGGGATAGCTCTGGGGCCCATGATACCAAATGGCTGGCCTGGCATCAGAGACTGACAGGCTCATGGGCACTTCCTCATGTGGTACAGACCCTGATCACTCAGACTCTGAGCCAAGCCAACCCCACTGCCATCACTGCAGAAGAATACTTCAACCCCAACTTTGAGCTTGGCAACCGGGACATGGGCCGCCCCATGGAACTGACCACCAAGACACAGAAGTGAGGCCCCCTGCTGGTGCTGGGGAGGGGTGGGTAGGCCAGGGCTGGACGGGGTCTCCAGAATGTACTGGGTGGGAGGCCATGGCTTCTACTATGTCCCTCACCCCTTGGGATTTGGGGGGGCAGGTTCAAGGCCAAGCTGTGGCTGTGTGAGGAGCATCCCCTGTCCCTGTGTGAGCAGGTGGCCCCCATCATTGACCTCATGGCTGTCAGCAATGCGCTTTTCGCCAAGCTCCGGGATTTCATTACCCTGCGCCTGCCCCCTGGTTTTCCTGTCAAGATTGGTGAGACCCCACCCCCATTTCTCTTCAGCCGCTGTTGGCTGGGGGTGGGGGGGTGGGGGGGTGGGTAGGGCTTAGA